TTGTTTTTTATTCACTTTACCAGCGAAATTATTACATATATTTGACCTTGACAATAAGAATAAAGTTCGTTTGAAGAGTTTTGAGAATTAATTTTTTTTTCTCCCAGAATTCATTTCACATCAACAAGCAAATGGTAATGGCGGATGAGAAAGCCCAGCTAATATTATAAATATTGCGTTTAATATGTCACGAAATGAAATTTTAACAGTGTTTCATGCGAGAATGTAGTTCTTACAAACTCAAATCTGTGGTTTATTTATAGATATCATGTGTAAATTTTAAGTGTGCTTTGCCGATAGCGTAGATTCTGACCTCCAGGGTGTCCATCATCACTCATGTATCCGGCGAAACGAGGTTATAATCGGCTAGACATGTGAGACTTGCCCCGGTCTTAGATGGCTCTATAATGAATGTGTTATGAAATTTAGTTTTAACCGTTTTTCATGCGGGAATGTAGTTGTTTTAAACTCAAGTCTGTGGTTTATTTATAGAGATGGTGCGTATTTTAAAATATTGTTTTGAAAATGCGGAGATGTGACCTCCATGGTGACGGGTGCCCAATCCTCATGAATCCGTCTAAAGCAGGCTGGTCATTCTGACATTTAAGCTGACTTTGGTTTCATGAATCAATTACTTTTGTTCCAGTTTACGTTTTGGTTAAGCACAAAGTTATGTTGATTAAAAATGATTTAATATTTTCATGTTAACCTTATAAAATTAAGGTGCAGTACACCCAAAAATGGAAAACCAGGGGACAGTTTTATGCACTGAACAGTCTGAAGAAACTGGTTAGTTTATTTTTCTTCACAAAATACTTAAAAAAAATAAAATAAACATAATAATAATAATATAAAGTGTGTGTAGAGTTTTTCATGGTCATTTGCAGTACTGTATTTAGATGCACAGTAACTGATTTTCCCCCCAAATTCATTGTAAAATCTGCAGTAGCATACTGTTAATCATGTTCACAGTATGGAAATGTTGAGAATACATTATCATGCTGTGAAAACAGCAATATATACAGTAACACACTGTGCACAGCTTATACAGTAAACAACTGTTGAGAAATGCAGTATAATACCGTGAAAACAACAGAAATCGTTTACAGTGCATTGTACACTAATCTACACTATTTTAATGTTGTTGTGGGCAGGGCCGGAGCAAGCTGAACTGCCACTCTAGGCAAAGGACGGTCACGCCGCCTTCAAACCTAAAGTGAAACCGCCCTAGGCGCGGCTATAACTGAGGCGCGGGTGGCGAGGGTAGTTTCGGGGATGCCGCTCTCTATATTCTGCCACCCTAGACACGGATATAATTGTGGGCGCGGGTGGCGAGGATATTTCGGGGACGCCGCTCTCTCTATTCTGCCACCCTAGACGCGGATGAGGGCGCGGGTGGTGAGGGTAGCTTCGGGGACGCTGCCCTCTCTATTCTGTCACCCTAGGCGGCCGCCTAGGTCGCCTCTATGGAAGCGCCGGCCCTGGTTGTGGGACAATGTGAAAGACAGCAGCAGTATGTCCTCAACTATAGATCTGGATATTATTTGAATAAATTCTGTCTGAGTAATAAGTGTTTGCGGTGGAGAAAAATGAGGTTTTATTTGCTTTGATGTCATGGTTTTGTCTTCTCCTTTTACAGGAGAGCTCATGTTATTATAAAATTACTAATTTAAGCCCGTAGCCAGGGGGGGTCTCGGGTGGTTCGAAAGACTGACAAAGGTCCAGAATTTGTACCATAGATGAGCTCATTTGTCCTATTTTGACTGCTATGCCATAACAATTTGTGAAAATAGCCCATCAACAAAGGCTTTAAGACCAAGCAGAATCCTGTATTGGCTCTTGGTACAGAATTTGGGACAGCAAATTTAGCACGCCGTGACTTCCCATTCTGAAGTCATGCCGTGCCTGATTTGGCATCCCAAATTCTGACTGAAGAAAGTTGAATATGCTGGCCAGTTTGTAATTAGCCTAATAAATGACAATAGTCTACAGTTTTTTGTTTTTTTAAATTAAAACTTTAACAGATTCTTTTTTTTCTAATGATATATGATGTAAATCATTAGGAAATGTTTTTGGTACATCAAAAAGTGTGTTTATGATGACCATCCGACAAGCTAATGCTGAAAAAAACAGTGCCACTAAACTGCAGTATTTAAACATCATAATTAAATAAATAAAAAATTAAGGTCCACTTTGAGGAAAAAAAAGAACCACCCCTTTCACCAGGCTGGCTATGGGCCTGCTAATTATATAGTAGGTTAGAGACAGGAGTTGAACATAATTATGATAAACACAGCGCCTCCTCAGTTCAAAACATGAATCGCGATTCATTGAACATTTCTACTGGTTTGATTCGATTTTCAACTGGCTCACGGTGAATCGTTACATCCCTGAATACGAAGTATATCATAAAAAAAATATTAAAAACTTTCAAGGATTTAAGAAGCTGGAGATCGTTAAATGTGTTGTCACCGTCTTCTGAAAAGGGTCCATTAGCTGCACTGTTACACAGAGGTAGTTTTGGTCACTTACTGATGTCCAGTGGTCTCCAGTAAGTGCAATGTAAGTGCTTTCTAAAAACCGACTCACTTTTTTTTTTCGCTTAAAGTGTTGTACAGTTCTCTCGTATCAATAGTTTGGCTAAACAATGTTGATGCGTCTGCAGTCTGTGGATATCCATTTAGTGAAGGAATGAGTTTGTTTTGCAGCCGTGATTTTATTTGACGAGCACATCTGCTTGACTCTGTCTCGCCTCTGGCATCTTTGCTAAATATTCTGCAAAAAATATGTTTGACCTGACGATGGTCAAGCTTTTTAAAGATCATCCCACATTATCTCAATTGGATTCAGGTCAGGATTAGGCCACTCCACTTGTGCTTCAGTGGAAGGACCGTTCATCACTACAGTAAGTTTACACCATGTTGGCTTAATTGATTCATCATATACTATCATATTATCCATTACACAATGATTATAATTGCAATAACGGCAAGAAGCTGGGGTCAAACTTAATCAAACGATTAATTTGTATTAAAAAAAATCTTGATACGTGTGATACACTTTTCAGATTAAATTGCATGTGTTAACAGCCCTTATACATTTACAATATAACTGAATCATCACAATGCATTGCCACTAGGGAGCAGTTGGTCTGCCCGAAAAACTCAACTGATAAATACACTTCATACATTTAATGGTCACAGCTTTGCTTTTCAATTTCTGAATCAACAAGTGTGTCTGAAAGAACACATCATTCTGGTTGAATGATTGAAAGACTCCTTCACATGTGTTTAAAACAATTTGTTTGAACGAACAACACAGTGAATCACTTATAAAGACTCACTTTTTTCTGTTTCAGAAAGAATCAGTACGTTTGAAAAATAATCAAGTGAATAATTCAACTACTTGGTTTATTTCTTACTTAATCTGTTTAATAATAATTGAGTAATAACTTTATTATGATTAATGATGAATCAATTAATTGTTCAATGACTCACTCATTACGATTATTTTTTTAAATTCCTACCTCAATAAGCGTGTTTGAATGAAACAGTTGAATGATTCAATTACTAATTCATGCATTTAAACAAACAGGTTGAATGAACAAGACATTGGATCCCTCATAAAGACTCACTCGTTCAGTTTCAGAAAAAGCCAGTACATTTTTTAAAAATCAAATAAATAATTCAACTACTTTTAAATGACTCACTCATAAAGACTCCCTTGTTCAGTTGTGAATAAGTGATAATAAATTATTCAATGACTCATTAAGTAAGATTATTTTTTCCATTCCTGAATCAATAAGTGAGTTTAAATGAATTGATTGAATGACTGATTCAACGACTTGTTTAACAAATTGGCCAAATAAAAAAAGGGAATAAATCACTCATGAAGACTCGTTCAGTTTCAGAAGACTCGCTTGTACAGTTGTAAATAAGTGGTAATAAATTATTAAATTACTCACTCATTTAGATTATTTTTTTCAATTGCTAAATAAATGAGCATGCTTGAATGAATCATTTGAATTATTGATTTAATGACTCATTGATTTATTGACTCATTAAACAAATTTTTTAAATAAAAAAATTGAATCACTCACGAAGACTCACTCGTTCAGTTTCAGAAAGAATCAGTACATTTGAACAAATTGAGTGAATAATTCAATTACTTCATTCGCATCTTAATAAACCAGTTTTAATAAAATGATGGGGTGAATAGTTCAATGACTCACTTATAAAAACTCGTTCAGTTGTAAATAATCAGTGGTAATGAATTATTTAATGACTCACTCATTAAGATTCTTTTTTTTAAATTCCTGAATCAATAAGTGTGTTTGAATTAATCAGTTGAACAACTGATTCAATGAATCATTAATTTGTTTAAATAAATTGGTTAAATAAAAATAAATAATTAATCACTCACAAAGAATAACTCATTCAGTATCAGAAAGAATCAGTACATTTATTTAAACAAATTGAGTGAATAATTGAATAACTTTGTTCATTTCTTAATAAATCTTTTTTAATACTTTAAGTGAAAAGTTTAATAATTCACTTGTAAAGACTCACTTGTTCACTTTTGAATAAATCAGTGGTAATGAATCATTCAATGACTCACTAATTAAGATTCTTTTTTTACATTTTTTTTCCAATTCCTGAATAAGTGTGTTTGAATGAATCAATTGAACGATTGATTTAATGGCTCATTCTCATGTGTTTAAAAAAAATTGGTTGAATGAAAAGGGAATGAATCACTCCCGAAGTCTCACTTGTCAAATTGAGTGAATAATTCAATTACTTTATTTGCTTCTTAATTAATCTGTTTTAACTAATTTATTAAGTGAACAGTTCAATGACTCACTCATAAAGATCCAATTGTTCAATTTCAGAAAGAAGCAGAACATTTGAACAAATTGAGTGAATGATTCAATTACTTTGTTCATTTCTCAATAAATCTTTTTTAATACTTTTTTTTTTACTTAATCTTTTCCATTTTTTTTTAAATTCCTGAATAAGAAAGTGTGTTTGTGTAAGTGTGACTCACTCATAAAGGCTCACTTGTTCAGTTCTGAATAAAACAGTGCTTCTGAATGAATTTAATAAAAAAATCATAACCACTCACTTGACGTCACCCACCAGCATAATGACATAACCTTCAGAAAGGCTCATAAGTGACTAATAAACAGACTTACCAATCTGCCAATCAGATTTGAGCAAGAGAACAGCTCGAGTCTTCAAATTTTCATTCTGCCGTTCTTTCTTCCGTCTCATTGCTTCCTCTCATCTCTCTCTCCTCTCTCAACTGCCGACAGCGCTTTGGGCCGTGCTGGAGATGACTGAACGCTCTTGAGAATGACTCACAGATGGAGAACGCACAGGACGAAGACGAGAGCCTGCAAAACCAAAACCAGCGCACAGCATGTGAGGGCAAGAAGACTTCAACACACACACACACACACACATTAAGAGCATACCAGCGCTGTGTGTGCGTTAAGAGGGTTGGGTTTCTAAATGACAGATCATTATCATGCTAATTAAAGCATTTTGTAGCTGTGACTCGCAGAGTATTTGTGTGTGTGTGCGCGCGCGCGTGTGTCTAATTAAGGCCGGTTCATCAGCACCCAGCTCATTTACACTGTACTAGAACGACACCCTGATTCAAGCGCACGGACAGTAATGAAGCTACTAATTATTATAGCACTTTGACATATTTAGCCTTAACTGAGCCAAGCTGAACAGCTGAAGCAGCTCAACTGAAGCACACCAACACAACACAGCTTCAGCCGTTCAACACACACAAGCACAGCAGAGGCAAACAGAGTAAACCCAGCAGAGCTCAACTGACCCAAGACATCTGAACTACTCGGATAGTCTGTAGTTTTGTCCAAAACAAAAGTCTTTTAAACAAAATCATTCACCTAGTTAGTCGTAAAATTTCCTGCAAGAAATATTTGCATTGTTACATGCAAAATCAATCAATGTTTTAGAAAAAATGTTTATTGCATATTTAGTTAATATACACAAATCAGTTTATCATTAAACACAATAGAAAATATAAAGATAAATTAATATATAACCAATTTAACAATTCAGACATGTGATATTAATCTATGAAAGTCAATAAAAATATTATAAATATTAAAAAATTATTTTCTTCAGGACCTGGAAGACTTGCTGTGATAAATGGAACCGTGAATTCTGCTGTGTGCAAAATATCCTGAAGGAGAATGTCAGGCCATCTGTTAGTGACCTCAAGCTGAAGCAAACTTGGGTTCTGCAGCAGGAGAATGATCCAAAGCACACTAGCAAGTCCACTTTTGAATGGCTGAAGAAAACAAAATTAAGACTTTGGAATGGCCTAGTCAAAGTCCTGACCTGAATCCTGATCTCAATCGGACCAAAGAAGTGATTCATGCTCAAAACTCTGAATTATGTGGCTGAATTACAACAACTCTGCCAAAATAAGTGGGCCAAATTGCTCCACAGCGTCATAACAGACTAATTGCAAGCTATCAAAAATGCTTGATTGCAGTTGTTGCTGCTAAGGGTGGCACAACCAGTTATTATATATAGAAAAAAACACTTTTGCACACAGAGCTAGCGTAGTTTAGGATTTTTTTCCTCCTTAGTATTAAAGAAAATAATTTCAAAAGTGCATGATGTGTTTACATGTTATCTTTTACTGATTTTTACAATGTTTGATGATCTAAACATTAAATTTACAAACATGCAAAAAAAAAAAAGAAAAGAAACCAGTTTAGGGGGCAAACACTTATTCACGTCACTGTAAACATACACACATTAATTAATAAACCAATTAAACTTTTATATATTTTGTGTAATTTTTCACCTTCCTAATTAATAACAAAAAATAGTTAAGAAAAACTTTAATCTAAACACATCAATATAAATAAATAAAAAAATCTCTCAATATCAGTTTTAATTTTGTACTTGTCTGTCGACCAAAATGTTATTTTTGTCATCTAAAGTTAGATGTCATTTTAATCCTTGGAGTGTAATGACATAAAACTGATTCTAAACCTACAGAAGCAGCTGTTGTTCTGCTGCTGAGTATGAAACTGATCCGAGAGCAGCACCTTCACCTCGAAGGATTTGTGCTCGTGACCCCCGTTGACTCAGTAATGTTGGAGACTCGCGCTCTTCGTTCGGTTCAATGAAGCGCTTCCTCGAGCTAATGCTAGAGGCTGGAGCGAGAGAGGTTTAATTAGCGACTCAGTATTGATCAGCGCTGAGGTTACCTTTGCTGACAGAGCACAGTTTGAGCGGCTGCATGTGTGTGTGTGTGTGTGTGTGTGTATGTGAGCGTCACGACCCACAGTGTAATTAAGAAATTCACAAACCACTGGGGTGCTGCTGGAAATTGGGATCCTTTGGTGCGCAGTGTGTGTGTGTGTGTGTGCGCGCGTGTGAGAGAGAGAGAGCAATTATGACACCCATAATGATCTGTTGTCCTTATCAACCAAGACAAACCTACTGAAAAAGGCAGAAGATCATAAGAAAGAAAAAAGAAAAGATGGAAGAAAGAAAGAAAAAAATGAAAGAAAGAGATGGCAGAACAAACGTAAAAAAAGAAAGACGGTAGAACAAAAAGAAAGGAAAAAATGTAAGATGAAGGAAAGACAGAAAAAGAAAAAAGGAAGAACAAATAAGAAAAGAAACAAAAAACAAGGAGGAAAAAGAAAAGCACTGAAAAGAAAGATAGAAAAACCAAGAAAGAAAAACAATAAAAAGATGAGAAAAATCAAAGATAGTAAAAAAATGGAACAACAAAAACTGGGAATGGAAATAAAATAATAACGAAGACTTTCTTACATTAAGAAATAAATGTAAGAAAGAAAGACAGAAGAAAATGAAAATGACAGAAAAGATGGATGAAAGACTGAAAGAAGAATATAAGAAAAAATGAAAAAGAAAAAAGGAATGAAATGAAAGATGGAAGAACAGAAAGAAAAACAATGACAGAAAGAAGGAAGAAAGACAGAAGAACGAATGAAAGACGGTAAAACAAAAAAGGAACAAAATGGAAGAAAAAAATAGAAGAACAATAAAATGACAAAAAACAATAAAGAATGAAAGAAAAAAGATAAATGGAAGAATGAAAAAGAAAATAAGATAAAAACGTAAGAAAGAAAAAAAATGACTGAAAAAGATGGAGGAATAAAGTAGAAAACAATAAAAAAAGAAGACAGCAAAAAAGAATGAAAGATGGTAGAACAAAAAGAAAGAAAAAAATGTAAGGAGGAAGACAGAAGAAAGAATGAAAGATGGTATAACAAAAAAGAAAGAAAGAAAAAAATGAAGAACAAAAAGAAGGTACGACAGAAAATCAAGAAAGAAAAAGACTAAAGAAAGAAAAAGACAAAAGAAAAATGGAAGAACTAAAAACAAAGTAAACAAGAAAAAACAAAGAAGAAAAGAATTGGAAAAGAAAGATGGAAGAACAAAGAAAAAACAACAAAAGAAAAAAACAGATGACAGAATGATCATGATGAATGAATGAAGATGGTAGAACAAAAAAATGGGAAGAAAAATGGAACAAAACAACTTCTGACAGAAAAACAAGAAAGAAAGAAAGAAAGAAAGAAAGAAAGAAAGAAAGAGGAAGGAGAAATGGAAGAACGATGAAGAAAATAAGAAAGAAGAAAAAACATAAGAAAGAAGAAAAGATTTGGGAAAAAAGATGGAAGAACAAACAAAGAAAAACAATAAAAGAAAGAAGGAAGAAAGGCAAAAGAATGAAGGCAAGAAAAAAGGCAAGAAAAAAAGCAAAATATAAGAGAAAAACAAAAAAGAAAGAAAGAGAGAAGAACAAAAAAGTACAACAAAAATGAAAAAATAAGAAATAAAAAACTTATGACAGAAAAGAAAGAAAGTAAAACAAAAAAGAAGAAAAAAGAAAAATGTAACAAAAGTAAAGAAAGAAAAAACTTAAGACTAAAGAGAAATGGAACAATAAAGAAAAACAACAAAAGAAGGAAGGAAAAGAGAACAACAAAACGAAAGGTAGTACAAAAAATGTATAAAAGGACGAAGAAAAAAATGAAAGAACAAAAACGAGAAAACAAGAAAGTAGAACAAAAAAACAAAGAAAAAAATTGAAGAAGGAAAAAGAAAAATGGAAGAATGAAAAATAAAATAAAAAAGAAAGAAAGAAAAGGATTTAAATGAATACAGAAAGGACAATGAAAAACAAGAAAGAAGAAACAATGGCAAAACAAAAAAAGGAAATATGACGAAAAAAATGGAAGAATAAAAAAGACGATAGAACAAAAAGAAAAAAAATGTAAGAAAGCAATTATCACGGTAATACGATGATAAACATCCAAAAACACAACACTACTATAGTAGATGCCCCAAATAACAGCAACATAACATAATTCCAACAGAAGACAGCAGTACATAAGCTTGGTCGGAGAGAGTTTGCATACATAAATTTGAGCTCTAAAAAGTGAAGTAAGGAAATCTCTCTCTCTAAACTCAATAGTGGAGGGGCTGAGGCAGGAAACCATGGTAACCAGAGGTTTTTGATAAATAGCTGAAGTGTGTTTGCGTCCTGCGCTCTGTCATGTCTGCTATCTGTGAGGCTCACTGTGAGCCTCTGCAGGTTTATTTGTGCTTTCACCTCGACTCGTCTTCGGCTGACAACCTCTAGACAGATGTGCTGCACTAATGAACACCATACAGTCATTAGCATTAGATATCAAATGCTGACTCGCATATACTCATACAGGCTGAACAGGAAAAAAGATATATGATAGTTTCAATAGCGCGTCACGGTGGCACAGTGGGTAACACGATAACCTCACAGCAAGAAGCTCACTGATTCGAGCCCCGGCTGGGTCAGTTGGCATTTCTGTGTGGAGTTTGCATGTTTTCCCCATGTTGGTGTGGGTTTCCTCCGGGTGCTCCTGTTTCCCCCACAGTCCAAAGACATGTGCTATAGTTGAATTAAATAAGCTAAATTGATCCAAGTGTATGTGTGAATCAGTGTGTATGGGTGTTTCCCAGTGTTGGGTTGCAGCTGGAAGGGCATCCGCTGTTTTAAAGAGCACCTATGATGCAAAATCAACTTTTTAAAGCTGTTCGGACAGAACTGTGTGTGGGTTTAGTGTGTCTACTGTCATATTGGAGTAACACAACAAGTCTCCCGGTGATTTTGAGGCCCACTCTAACGTGGCGTTGGTACACCGAATTGATCGACAGACGCATAGTAACTGTAGTTGTGCATATAAGCATGTCCACAGAATAGGATTTGCTAAGAAACTGGGACTAAAAGATCTGTTCCAACTCTCTGTGATCAGCTGCAGTTCAAGAATTAATTTTATGAGTTTAAAGCATTTTTAAAGGTGTGTGTGTGTTTACTGTGAACTTT